TGCTGCTCTGAAACAATTTGTGCTGTGAAAACCACTATTTAAATAAAGACTTCAAAGTTGCTGTACCTAATTGTCATCGTCTCGCTATTGATTTATTTTTTTCAAGATTTACTGAGTATTGATTTCTATTAATGCTTTGGTATTGTTGGTCTTGATTTTCATACTGTGCTTTATCTACAGACAAAAGATTATGTCGTTGCCATTTGCCCTGCAGAACTGAGGCTCATTACCATTGCCCCAATTGCAGCAAAACTGTTCTGAGGAGATATGTTATGGAAGCTCACCTTCAGATATGCTCATCATCAGATGTACCCATCCAACCTTCTTCATCCTCTTTGGCTTCACAACCCTCTAAAACAACACCTGCACTGGTTCCTTTGTCATTTGTAACACCACCTGCACTGGTTCCCCTGACTGCAATGACACCTGCACTGGTTACTTTGCCCACAACGATACCTGCACTGGCTCCTCTCTCATCTGCAGTGACACCTGCACTGTCTCCACTACCTCCTGCAACGACACCTGCCCCGGTTCCTTTGTCCACAACGACACCTGGGCTAGTTCCTTTGGCTGCAGTGACACCTGCACTGGCTCCTCTGTCCGCAACAACAGGTTCACAGTCGTCAAAAAGCAAAAATGTGATTAAATGCCCACATTGTTCAGTCACTGTGATAAAAAAGAACTTGGTAATCCACATTAACAGAAAACATACTGACCATTCAAAAGATATTACAATGAAATCACATCTTTCTAGTGTGTGTATTGACTCCTCAAATGGACTGTCGGCAGTTCAAAGAAGTGGTCATGGTTTCTCTGTACCAGTTCATGTACAGAGAAAGACGTGGGGCAAAGCTCATTATGTTAGGTGTGAGTTGGAGGAATGTCGCCAATACCAGCTACTTGCTCACCGGAGTGGACACACGTTTAGTCTCTGTGAACATCTTCGTTCACTGGATTATTGTTGTGAAACAGCATTTGAGGAGCACTTGGAATCAAGTGTCCTTGATGAGATGGTGAAGCTCAGATTCATAGGAGAAGCAAAGAAGGCAGTTTGTTTGAAGAGGCAAAAATCAGCACAGGCAGCTCATGTCCCATTTTCAGTGTTGGTGGCATTAGGTAAATCTCAAGAGCAAATCACCCTATCCATACATGAGCCTATTATTCATCACTACAATTGCCTTGGAAGAGTAATGGTCACATACAATTCCTCTGCTGGTACTTGGCACTGCCCATGTGCAAAGCCCAGAATGTCTTGCCCTCACAAAAACATTTTGTCTGTTTGTCTTTGTCTGTATCTAAGACACAGTTTACAGGTTTGTCTTTATTATGTAGTGTTTTATAACTAATGTACCCATCCAATAAAGTAGCCATTCAGAGAATTTAATTTACCCATTCCCATTATGTCTTTTCCAGAACCACGTATCAGTTTCCAGGGCTATAGACACTTTGGAGGGCTTATGGGGAGTAAAATACCCCAACAGAGACACCATACTCCATGGGTACTGTCATTTCGAGGCCTTGACAGATACCGACTACAAATATTCTTGTGTTAACTGTGGTTACCATCCCCCCGTGGTTATTATGGATTTGCACAAGAAGGGTGTTTTTAGCATATCAGGTAAGAGTTTGTTTGCTATAATATAATAATCAAAGTAACAAAGTAAATGTACCTATATATATATATATATATACATACACATATACATACACATATACACATGTATATGTATGTTTTTTTTTTTTTTAAGTGGGTGACCTCAAAGAGCCTCCACCTGAGTTTAGAGGGGAAGTAGACATTGAGGATTTCTGGAAATCAGTAAATCTTGAGATGATCGCTTGGGAATTTGTTCCCAGTAAGTGTTTTCTCTCTTAAACCACAAGAAAATTGCACTTTGTCTCAATGTTTATATAATGTAGACTTCTAAATATGTGTATTTGTCTCAGGCCGGACCAAAAATCCATTTGCTGTGCAACCTAGTTCTTCTAGGTGGGCTCCATGGATAGGACCCAAAACTAGGATGGATCACACTGTACTGAATACAGAATTTGCAAAAGTTGCAACAGCAAAGGTCACGTCAGCTGAAGCTCAAATGATGAATGTGTCAGAAGACCGTCTCGTGGATGAGCTGATGAAGCAGAAGGTATAAATCTCGATCAAATTCAACTACAGTTGGATCATGTGCCCTTTATTGAAAGGATTGTCCTGACTATATGCTTACATTATATAACAGGTTGGTGTTGTCAGAAAACTCTGCAAGGCCTGTAATATTGACTCGAAAGGTTCTCGTATGGATCTCATTTCAAGATTACGAGCAGAGATGCAGAACAGACAGTCCTATGACAAAATGTTCCAGAAAATCTGGGGAGCATCAGGTGGGAGTAATATTGTACTTTAATGAGATAACAATTGAAAAATTGCAATTTTACATTTCCTTATTCAATTTTGTATTATGGCTTTTCCAGGTGGTTGGTCAGTCATCCTATGCCCACATGGTGTGGTGTATAGCATAAAGTTTAATTTGAGAGCCGAGAGTCCCAGAGATTTTGCGGACCTGCTGTTGTCGTGGAAGCACATTCCTAATGTTAGTGTATATGATTTTGCACGAGGCTTGGCCACGCATGGCAATTTACGTGTACCTACAGCTATCCCATTTCATCCACACGAAGGGAGACTAGCTGAGCCAACACCAGAAAACATCAGTTCAGCAAAGCAGGGCAAACTGAAGGTGTCTCTTCCTTGGTTGTTTGAGAAAACAGACAATTTGAATTCCAAAGGCCATCCCATAACTGGATCATCTGAGCACTATGTGTTGTATGACAAACTTCATGAATCAAACACGAAAGAGCCCCAGGATGTACTCAGAAGAATTAGCCTGGTCCCAGAGCTACAGGGTTGGCTGAATAGTCAAATTGCAGAGCAGTTTTTTGCAAGCTTGCGAAAAAACAACTATTTCCTTAACAACATGGCACCTTCAACACACATCTTCATTATGCGCAACATTGTTCATCACTAGAACACTTCCACAAACCAGAAGCTTCTGGAAGTACAGCTGCAACGTGGTCACAGACCTCATGGTATTGAAAATATCACCCTGTCTGACTTAGGACAAGCAATTGTAGGTTAGTAGCCAAAACTATGCTGCACTGCTATCTGTTATAAACTGTGCTATAAGTAACTTTGCAGTAGTAAACTTGTTATACCCTTTCTTTCTCAGCCCAACAAGCCAGTGACAAAGAAACTGTTCAGCACCATCCACATCAGTTAAACCAGGAAGACTTTGGTGAGTTTTTTTCCTTTGTAACTTTCAGTGTTTTTTTGTTTTTTTGTCTTTATGCTTATACTTCTTTTTGCCTTAATATATGTAGAAAACTGTGGACCTCAATGTGAAGTATTCACTAAGTGTGAAAATATTGCAGCTTGTCGAGCATCATGGACCTTGGGAAATCATCCTGCTCAAAAAGAACTAGTTAGTTTCAATAATAATACAAGAGTTTTATTTAACTCTGTGGTACTGTGGCTTTTTGGATGTTGAAACCTGTTGTTTATAGCTCAACTACATACTGGACATTGAGAGACCAGGAAATGAGCTGATTGTTCGAACAGTGAACACAGTCTTAAACCGTGCTGACTTTTGGACATTGGGCTTGAACAGAGACATGGAGTCCACTGTAAGATCATGGCTGTTTTACATTGCTTTATATGTTTGTTGTTACATTAAGTCCTAATTAACGTTGTAATTATTTAATATACTTTTTTTTCAGATTGGAAATAGTTGTTTTCAGTTGATTGAAAGCATTGCATGGTCAAAGGTATTTTGTTTATATATTCAGATACTTTGAAATATTGTTTTGAGTTTTACAGTATACATATTATACAATATTACAATACTTGAGTATTTACAGTACATATTTTGAAATCTGCCTCGTATACACAATATCCTGCAGGGCAAGAACATTTACATAGTTGACCATTATGTTGTACCAACATGGCTGCCACCAAACAGCTGTGATCCATTTTTGAGTCTGCCTGTAAGTACAGTATTGTATAAGTACTGTTCTATTCCCTGTTATGCTCACAGTTATATGTTCACTTGAACTTTCTGTATCATCAGGATGATGCTCACTTAAAAGACGCACTTGTGATTCCGGTTTGGACACCAGGACACTACCAGTTGTGTGTACGTATTCATACTGCATTTGAGTGATTAAAAAAAATTTGTTTTCTTGTAATGACCATAGTGCTTTGATTTCAGTGTATGCAAAACTGCAGTAAGTACCAAATAGATGTAAATGTATACATTTTAAAATAACTTTTCATGTGTTTTCAATCGTGGTGTTTTTGTCGAATATGAAAATATCAAATGGCAGATTGTGTTGTTTATAATGTAATCTAAGAAAATCAATACTGTACATTTTCTTTAGGTTTTGAAGCCAGTCCAGAAAGAAACAGGATTTGGTGCCCAGAGATACAAAGCTCTGTTGAGGTCTTTAGATGATTTTATTTTAAAATGCGAAAATGCAAATTCTCTAAATATGAAGTTTTAAAATTAACACACTCAAATGTAATATTCATCTGCTTGTATTTTATAAATTGTTAGGCAGATAATGCAAGTATAAATGTACTGCATCCTGTGTTGGAGGTTGTACTGCTTGAATCATCACAAGAGGTAAAGTTGTGTTACAGGATTAGCAACAAAGTCAAAGTAATTGTTTCTTTTTGTTTTTTGAACAAATACTGAATTAATGCTTTTTGTTTTTTACAATAGTATCTCCCTTGTTCTTTGTGTTATTTTACAGAATCGATTGATGGGAGATTTAAAGGAAGCCAGCAAGTGGTGTTTGGAACAGTCAAGTGTGCTGCTTGGTTCTGTTCAGCTGCCCAAAGTACTCTGTATGGAGGATGAAGATGTTGATGAGGCCTTGGACAAATTACAGAAGGCTGAATTTTCAGAGGACAGAATTATTGCTCTGGAACCTTTCAGCTTTTTCTTTACTGAGATGAAGGACATGAACTTGTTCCTTGAACATGTAATTGATGTCATGAATCTGAAAGTATTCTGTCGAACTGAAACAGAAGAAAATACATAATGTGCTTCCTTGCATTCATTCTTCTGTTTTTATTCGTTATGGAACTGTTCTTAACTTTTATTTATTTTTATATTGTACTATTTTCTAAAACTAATGTCAGTTTATCCAATAATAAAAATTGTTCATAGTTGTAAATAGTCTGTCTCCTTGTAACAGGCTTAAAATAAAAAAATAAAATTACAATTTGCATCAGCCTAATTTTTATTTTTTATCCATAATTTTGGAAGATAATTTTGTGTTGCTATTTAGACCTGATCGTTCTTTTGTAGCTTTGATAATGATATTTTTGCTGGTATAAATGTTAAATAGTCGTAGCCTACTTTAATGCTAAAGTACAATATTATAATCCTACGATAAACAAGCAGCAAAAAATAACGTTTGGGGGGAAAAGTCTCGTTATAGTTCTAAAGTACTTTAAATCATTTAACAGCATCATACAGCGTCTTTATTGGCAACGCGAACGAACGACTGGAAACTGTTATTTCCGGTTTATTTGTGTCGATTGCAAGTGACGTGGCAGGTACCGAAGACAAATCAATACTGTACATTTTCTTTAGGTTTTGAAGCCAGTCCAGAAAGAAACAGGATTTGGTGCCCAGAGATACAAAGCTCTGTTGAGGTCTTTAGATGATTTTATTTTAAAATGCGCGTTGCGCTCTAAATATGAAGTTTTAAAATGAACACACTCAAATGTAATATTCATCTGCTTGTTTTTTATAAATTGTTAGGCAGATAATGCAAGTATAAATGTACTGCATCCTGTGTTGGAGGATGTACTGCTTGAATCATCACAAGAGGTAAAGTTTTGTTACAGGATTAGCAACAAAGTCAAAGTAATTGTTTCTTTTAGTTTTTTGAACAATACTGAATGAATGCATTGAGCCGCGCCGATGACAGGTCAGCGCGGCGCGGACACTGTAATACCGCGCTGTTTCATCCCATTTTTGGGTTGTTTGGCTTGCCATATCACTGGACTCGCTGCTCGGGATGGAGAAGCAGATCGCCGAAAAAAGGCTTGGATTTGGGTCTGTTTTTCGCAGTCCTATGGATTCGGACTTACAGCGCACTAATAAAATTGTTTCATTTCGTAATTATGTTGCCTGCCCAAAGTACTCTGTATGGAGGATGAAGATGTTGATGAGGCCTTGGACAAATTACAGAAGGCTGAATTTTCAGAGGACAGAATTATTGCTCTGGAACCTTTCAGCTTTTTCTTTACTGAGATGAAGGACATGAACTTGTTCCTTGAACATGTAATTGATGTCATGAATCTGAAAGTATTCTGTCGAACTGAAACAGAAGAAAATACATAATGTGCTTCTTTGCATTCCTCCTCCTGTTTTTATTTATGGAACTGTTCTTAACTTTTATTTATTTTTATATTGTACTATATTCTAAAATTAATGTCAGTTTATCCAGTAATAAAAATTGTTAATACTTGTAAATAGTCTGTCTCCTTGTAACAGGCTTAAAATAAAAAAATAAAATTACAATTTGCATCAGCCTAATTTTTATTTTTTATCCATAAATTTGGAAGATAATTTTGTGTTGCTATTTAGACCTGATAGTTCTTTTGTAGCTTTGATAATGATATGTTTTGCTGGTATAAATGTTAAATAGTCGTAGCCTACTTTAATGCGCACTAATAAAATTGTTTCATTTCGTAATTATGTTGCTTTTTTGGTGTATTTTATAGTTCTATTGTCAGTCACAGCATGTTGGAGAAAATGCCTTTTGTAGCCCATGACAATCAAAGTAAACATTACATGACAAGTAAAGGTTAAACGATTGCACAAATGTTATTTATTTTAAGACATACTGTTATACTATTTAAACTTCTTCTTCTGAGACCAGTAATTTTCAACTGTACTGTATATCCTCCTAGGGCTTTAATGCTACAGGCACCAAACTCGTCAGAGACCTTGGACCTGCTCTATATGTTTTCTAACTCATGAGACTTACAGTTTTTGTATAAATAATTATAAAAATCAAAGGTTTCCCATAGACCTGCATTGGCTGAGCAAAAATGCCATAAATGTTAAATAGTCGTAGCCTACTTTAATGCTAAAGTACAATATTATAATCCTACCATAAACAAGCAGCAAAAAATAACTTTTGGGGGGGAAAAGTTTCTGTCTCGTTATGTTTTCTAACTCATGAGACTTACAGTTTTTGTATAAATAATTATAAAAATCAAAGGTTTCCCATAGACCTGCATTGGCTGAGCAAAAATGCCCTAGAGGACAACTGCAGTCCACTAGAGGGAGCCACAGGATAAGAAATCTACTTTACTTTCGTTTTCAGACAGTTAAATTTAAAAATAATTGCATACTTTTCATCATCAGTCAATCCACGAAATTAGTTTGTCAAGCTATTAAAATACTCATAATTTAAATAAAAAAGGCCTTTAAATGAATTTACAACCACATTTGGGTGACAACCTCAAATTTGAACAAAAATTTACACAATAATGTAACTCAAAAGAGTCATCTGGCACAAAAAGAGCTTGAATCAGTGAATCCTTTGGAATCTGTTCATTTACAAGAACCATCCTAATTAACCGATTCATTACGAGTTTTCAAAGCTACATACAGAGGGTACTCATACTGAATTTTCTTTTTTTGTTTGCCATTGCAGCTGTCACCATTTATTTCTGCAGCAACATGCATTTACTGCTTTTGACCTCTAACTGGCGCTATAACCATAGACTTTCACAAGTCGGGATCAAAGCACATTTTGTGAGTAGCATGACAGAGGGAGGGCCATTTAGCATGAATAAATGAATAAATAGACAAATAGATAAATATAATTATTTAATTAATTTTTTTTGCTTCAGCTCACTCAGCGGTGAAGTTGCATTCGCAATACAAATGTGACAAAACGTTTAATTTTGCTACATCCTTCTGATCACTGGGAAGTACTGCAT